TTCAAGGGTTTTCTTGTCGTTGAGCCATGCAGTTCGTTCGCTTTCGAGAGTCTTTTGAAGCTCAGCGTATGTCGTACGTAGCTGCGAGAGCTCCTCTTGCGCAATCTTCAGCTTCTCTTCCAACGCAATACGTTCAGACTGATGACGAAGTCAGCGCAAGCGACAGTAATGAGGAAAGCGACAAACATCTTGTCTAGCAATTTGTGCTTCTGTAGAGGCCTTGTAGTCATCGTATGTACCGTTCAATGAAGCAAGTGCCGCTTCATTGGCCTCCGAGATTTCTTGGAACTGTTGAACATGGCTTCGGGCAGTCGCAAGATCGACTTCGACGATCTTGAGGGACGAACTACGAGGGACGGACGTCAGCTCCAAGTCAAAACCACATGCGGATGCCGCACCGAAGCTCGGCCACTTCGACTTCAAGTTGTTGTTCACGACTGAGACTAGGGTCTACGATGGGAGCGGTTCCATCAGCGGTGGTGGTACGACGTTCATAAACTGAGAGTTTCTCAACGCTGCCTTGTAGGTTCTTTGTCAGCTCTTCCACGCGCTCCTCTAGATGTTTCTTGCTCGTTTCCGCGCCAACTAATGATTCGCGTGTCTTGGACAATTCCAAGACCTACAGGAAAGCAAGGCTCAGTAGATGGACTGTGTATAACATGAAGAGAATGCTTACCGATCTGTCAATTCGATTGTGCAGTTCCTTGAGCTCGATATCTTTCTGCAGCGTGATATGCCGGACGGTATCCCTCTCTTGATTGACTTGCGTTCGTAGATCTTGGCTAAACCCAGGTTTGAGTACAGCAGTAAAACTGAGGAAGGTAGCACCTACGTCTGAGACTCAAGATGCTGTAGCTGGCTCTCAAGGCGTCGTCTATCGTTTTCACCAGATCTCTCCAAGTCGTTGTGCATTTTCTGCACATTGGTCATCAAATCCGACAAGTGCGAGCGTTCCATGGCCAGCGTTTTGTTCTCTTGAAGTAACCGAGATTGTACACTCTGCGCTCGGATAATTGAGTCGCATAGGAATGCTGTGGAAAGTATGACTTACCTCCCAGATCTTCTTCTCTGCGCGAAGGTTGGCACATTCGGTTCGAAGCTGCTCAAGGTGGCCGTGAGCAATCTGGAGGTCTTCAGTTGCTCTTGCACATTCGATGTCCATCCGCGTCCATTGGTCGTACAGCTGTTGATTGCGTTTCGTGGCCGTTTCCAGTTCCCGACTGTGCATGGCAAATTGTTCTTGGCTCATACGCTGACGTTCTACATCCCGAAGAACGATTAGTGAGGAGACCAAAAAGTTAACGCGTACGCACCAGTCAAGAACTCAATCTTCGCGTGAGCTTTAGCCAATTCTGCGCCAAGGCGTCCAGATTCCCGTTGAGCCTCAACAACCTCTTCCCTAAGCCGCACGGAGTCGACACTCATCTCTGTCCGGTAGGCTTCGAACTGGTGCTGAACCTCTTCCAATTCCTTCGCCGTATTAGAGTCGCCAGACATATCTGGGACGCTTTCGTGGAGACCATTGATGGCTGCACTAATACCGTTAACAGATCCCGTACGTGCTTCAGCCTTCGCAAGCATGATCCTAAGCGTGTCTCGCTCCTTCACGTAGGCTTGGATGATATTCTCGCTCGACTTCTTCTGGACCTCAAGTTGCCTCATAAGATCTTTCATGGCTTCGTGGGCCTCGGCAACCGCTTCTTGCTGCTCCTTCTGCATCGATTCCTTGTAATCCCGTTCTTCCGACTCAAGTTTGTCGCCAAGTTCCCGGACAATGCGGAGAAGCTTTTGGTTCTGCGATTGAAGAGAATGGATTGAACGGAATAGGACGAGGTTGTTGGTGATGACGGCTTCGATGTTCGCAGCTGGTTCCATAGGTGTTTGTTCCAGTTCTTCGTCCGAAGGAATCATGGGGTCATCTCGTCGCGCGATTTCTTTGAGTAGAATTTGGACTTGCCGGCCAAGGTCATCAAGTTGCTTCTGAAGGAGGTCGTTCTCGCGAGTAGACTTGGTGAGCTTCTGAGAAGTTTCCTGTGCGAAAGCAGCCTTGGCGTCCCGCTCCGAAAGGGCTTGCGACAGTTGAGACGAGAGTTGAGCAGCCTCAGATTGCAGGCGCTCGTATTCCGCGCGTTGTTGAGACAGGATAGGTGCCTACGAGCAACGTCAAACCTGACGAATCTCAGAAAAGGAAACAACATACCCTCTCTTCAATCTGGGCGAGTACGGCAGAGAGCGTACGGTCCATATGATCATACTCAGAGCATTTCTGCGCGAACTGCTCCTGCAGGCGAACATAATCGGCGTAGACCTCTGTGAATGTCTTACCGCTTCTCTGGGCCTTGCTAGCCATTGCGACGGTGGGACTGAGTCCCATCATACTTTGCGTAAGTGGATCAGTGGGACCACCAGGCGTTCGCATTGGCGTCCCCGGGGAACCACCGAGAATCGGCAATTCACCTCTGTTCATGCGATCTAGCACGGTTTCCAGTTCATCGACCCTCTTCTCTGCAACTTCCCTCGACTTTCTCTCTCGCTCGATCTCCTCCTTCAAAGTAGCCTCCCTCTTCTCCGCCTTGTCTCCAACATCAGCCCATTCACTCTCAATGCCTTCGACAATAGCCTTCGCCTGCTTCTCCCTCTCCTCCATCATCGCAACGAGACGACGCAGGCCGCTTGCTTCGCTAGCGTATGTTGCCTCCTGCTCAGCGAGCTGCCCAGTAAGGTCTTGGACACGAGCGAGCGTCTGTGTGAGTTGGTGAGATTGCGACGAGTGAGAGGACTGCAGAGCTTTGAGTGTCGTTTGCGCAGATAGGTTACTCTGTGTTAGCGAATCACATTGTGCTTGAAGAGAAACGATTTCGGTATGCTTTTCGCGGCGGTATTTGGCGAATTCCTCTGATTTGGTGGAAAGCTCGGCGTTCGTACGTTCCACCTCGCTTTGAGCCAGATCCAGTTGTTGGTTGAGAGTTTCAAGTTTGAACTGAAGGAACGTGAGATATAGCGCGAAGAGGCGTGCGTGTCACGTACCTTGGTCGAAGTCTCGGACGAGCGTAGCTCCCGCACCGTGGCTTCCAGCGTCTGGTGTTCCTGTCTAGCCTCCTTGAGGTTCGAGCGAAGGTTCTGGATCTCCTCTAAACAGATGTAAGCGCGTAGCACCTTGCTCACTCTATTACGACATACCCTCTTGTTGGGTGCCCTCCTGCTTGAGGCGGCTAATGACATTCACCAAATCACGTTTCTCGCGCTCCGTGTCCTCGACGCGAGTCTTCAAAGACTCAAGTTCAGACGAAGAAACGGACTGCGAACTCGTCAAGGTCTTGAGTTGCTCCCGAAGGGCCGCGTTCGACGTAGCTGTCCCCGCTGCAGTCAATACAATACGCAGGGCACAAAAGGAAGTCATAACGACATACCCAGTTTATCTCGTTCTTCTTGCATTTGGTTCAGACCATTCTGAACACTCTCCAGCGACACCTCCAAGTCTTTGGCTAACGTCTCGCGGTCCTGGAGCGCTTGATCCAGCTCTACATCCTTCTTCTCCACCTCGGCGCGTGCCTGGTCAAGTTCTCTCTGAGCAGCATCTACCTCGGACGTGTGTAGAAGGAGAGCACGGTAGATTGATATTACTGTTTCAGTCGTTACGGTGGCGAGATTGGTGTCCGGGAGCAGAGCAGAAAGAGTGTCTTGGTCGAGGTCTTCTGGTAATTCGATTTCGAGAGGATGCTCGCTTGGTGACGGGGACGAGCGAGCCGCCGTGGCTCTGCTTTTTCGGCGAGTTTCCACCATACGAGTGGTGTCGCCGTCGGGAGAATGAATGTCGGAAATGACTTGAAGTGGACTCAGTGCAATGACAAACAGGTCGGCGTCTAAATTGCGTTACGTAATACAGAACAATTGTTTCTCCTGAATGCCTCCTTAGTACTTCGTCGAGAACTTGAATTGAAAGCTTGATTCAATAAGTGCAAGCCAATTAAGTTACTCCAGACATTGTGACAAGGATGCACTTCGAAGATTACATATTTTCTGCATTCATTGCGGAAAACATGCTGAGAACGACTATTAAAGAAAGAATAGGAGAACTAAGAAACGCTACGAGGCAAACTGGCACTGCCTGATGTAAGGTGGAAACAAGTACCAGGCAGAACAACCTTGGCACCATTAGAAGTCGATATACGTGTATAGGTTACGCAAGGACAAATGGCGGTGGCTCTTACAAGGCATACGCTCATCAGGGGAGGGAACTTCTTGGAAGTACCAGTCACAGGAAGAGCCCTGTTTGATTCCTACATCACACCCAGCCTCAGCCATTGACTACTGAATAAGTATAATATTGTACAAGCGAGACTTACCTTGAGAGCGTGCTACAAGAGTCTGCTTAACAAAGCGAACATCGTTGTTAAGTCTTGTCATAAAGCGTTATCAACCCGCGTCCTGCGGGGTTCGAGGGTGCCTTGGCTCCAAGCGAGGAAACAAGGAGCTACAGTGGAACGACTGATCAGGCCTGAGTACTAACATCGTTTGAGCATTCGGCTACGTGCTCCATCTCCGCCGCCTGCCACAGAACGAGTCAATACTACCTGCTCATAATGGGCACATGCCTTGAGGGCTTCATTGTTGATGTGTTCGCGCGAGTCTTCTGGATGGCTGATGGCACTTACATTTGCATTACATCGCTGTTCGACGAAGACGGAGCGCCACAGCCGCGCCGTCTGCTTGAGGCAGGTCATTCAATGCATTGGGGATGGGTATATTTGCGTAAGAATGCATGTCATCCTGGACAAGATTAACAACAATGGTAGTGAGCCGACACTTGCGAGAATCAGTGGCGTGACAACGACGATGGGGGATAAGGACTCACCTCAGTAAAAAGAACCATTGCAAGTAGAGCCCGTGTACGTATGATGAAGGTCGATACGTGGCCACCTAGACAACTCGCTATCGTGCGCCAAGAATGCTTTCTTTCTTTCTGTGGGGAGCAAAAATGCGACTTGATGCTTCCTAATAGCCTCTCGCGAGGGTCGAACTCGCAGCCTTCAGATTCACCTCTCTGTAAAAGTCTGACGCTCTATCCGATTGAGCTAGAGAGGCGATGCGGTAGGCGTCAATACACGCAGATATGATATAGGCAGACTTCTTGAAATCACAATCGTCGCCGTTCTGAATGATATTTTCTGGACTGTAGTATCGAGAAATATTTGGAATACAACTTGCGATTATCTGTCGTGAGGAGAAGGATTCCTATAATGGACCCCCTATTTGACTTCTCGGTGTCGTGATGAAAAAGCTCGGCTTCATTAGTTGGGGACGCGACGTTCCCACAGTCAACCAGCGTGTTATTTTGTGTTGTGTGTGTTGTGTTCGAGTTTTGAACCGTTGGCCTCGTTTCCTTGTTTCGTGTGGGGTCGACGCTGTCTTGCTTTCTTCTTGCTCTCGCTGTACTATTATCTATCCTTTCATTGCCCATGGAACTCTCACCGCAACCACCATCATCGTCTTCAACAACGCCGCCGCCTCAGGAGCACACGGACATCTTCTCGCTGACCGACAATGTTCTGGCCGACAAGCTGACCTTCATAGAAGAAGTGAGTCTTGCAGCCCCTTGCAAGGAAGACCTCCTTGACCAGCGAGTGTGCTTGTAGATTGGATTTGGCAACTGGGGCAGCGTCTGGTTGTGCCGGCCAAAGGCCAACCCACACTCACCGAATGCAGACGACGTGACGAGAATTCAGGAAAACAAGATCGCGGTCAAACTCGTGCACAGGTCGAAGACACCCACGACAGCAGCGAGAGTGCGATCGTTGTGAGTTGATTCTCCTGGTGCAGTGACATTGACGTGAATCCGACGCGTCTGGCAGATGGAACGAGATGAAGATCGTTCGTGAATTCAAGTCTGACCCGCACCCGTCGATAATACCTTTCCATTCCTTTATAATAACGCCTTCCTACGCGATGATTACCATGTACGTCCCCTTATAAGCGCAAGGGACGCAGACTAACCTTCGATTTTCATAGGGCGTACCTTCCTACCTTGATTACAGTCGAAGTCGATGAGTCGAGAGCACGAACTTGGTTCCGATTCCTTCTCTCTGGCGTAGAGTTTCTTCACCAGCGCGGAGTCGTACATAACGACATCAAGTGAGCTTAATTCAACTTTATATTTGCTCTATTTAACTCTCTTCCAGGCCGGCGAACATCCTACTATCACATAAGAACGTACCGGTTCTAGTCGATTTTGGATTCGCCGAGAGGTACGACGCGAAGTCAAGCAAGGCATTCCTCAGCAATCTCTCCTACGGTACACCCGAGGTCCGTTTGATTTCCTTGCTATCGCGCGAATTCGACTAACGTATCCCGCAGTACCTCTCCCCCGAGCGAGCTCGTGGCCTTCCTCACGACACCCGCAAATCAGATGTCTGGTCCCTCGGCGTCACCTTCTTCGAAATCATCAACGGCAGAACGCCCTTCGAACTCTACGACGGCGAACAATTTGCCACGAAAGACGATTTGGAGCGTTATTGGTCTCGGACGCTTCGTGGAAAATGGGTTGGAACTTGGACGATGTCTAAGCCTGCAGAACAGCTTCTGCGAAGGATGTTGGCACCCAATGCGGATTTGAGGTGTACGGCCTCGGAGGCGATGGCTGATCTATACTGGGCCCAGAAGCCGTCCGAAGTATCTCACCGTGAGTGGCCTTCTCAACTTCTATGCCCACTAACTTACGCGTCGTGCCGAAGGACGTTCTACGAGTTACAACTCATCACTTGCCTTCGACAAGGACCTTTCACGGGTTTTAGCTACGCCGTCCAGAAGCACAAAGGAGAACACCGACCTTTCGAGCCCCCCGGGGCTGGGATCTCCCCTCTCCCGAAAGGTTGACAACAAGCTTGCTGCTCCTCATGTTTTGCTCAAGTCCAAATCGCAACCCAAAGTGAATGCCACCAAGGGTAAGCCTCGTTGTGAGAAGTGGTGTATTTATATACTGACTTGGTGATTGTAGTTCCTACGATCAGGAAACGAGTACCCGTGGACCTCTCTCCCATCAAAGCGTCACCTCCTACGACACCACTTTCAAACGCAAAGTCCCGCCGTATCGCCAATATCCCTACGTTCGGTACAGCCAGTGGACGAAGACCTCTTGGCGCTGTCTCAAACCAGAATGGGAAGGAGAACCCACTGGTGTCCCCCATGTACCAGCCCGCCAAGAAGTCGCAGGTCGACTCGAAGGATACCCCGAAGGCTCAGCGTCGGGCTTTAGGCGATGTTACATACTCGAAGCGGAATGCGGAGAACATGTCCCCGACTACCAAGGGGGCTCAGACCAAGGCCGTCAAACCGAAGGACCGCGTCAAAGAACGTGTCAGGGATTGGGAGAGAGAACGGGAGCGGCTACGTGAGATGCAGAGGCTGGAAGAGTTTGAGAAGGAGAGGGACGAGGAGCTTGAGCGGGAGCGAGAACTGGCACGGGAACGGGAGCAAGAACCAGTCAAGGTTGGAGATGATGAAATTAAGGGGAGCGAAGTAGTGGGTGGTGGCAGTGATACGGAGAATGCAAGCCCCGTTGGGAGCCAGTTCACAATTATCACGGAGAGCGTGGGGTCGTCTTCCACTTCACCTGGTATGATGATCATATCGCGCTTCCATTCTTCAGCTAACACGCTATGCAGACTGTCCTTCTCCGCAAACGCCCTATGATTCCGGCTTGAGTGGATTCAAGCACACTATCCAGCGATCTATTGGTACGCTCATATTTTTACTGCGTCGCTTGTAGGCTTATTGGTCATTGGTATAGACAAAACGCTGCATCTGTATAGCTCCGTGGGCGGCAAGTCCCCAGTGACCGCAACTGATCTCGGTCGGGAGTCTTGGGAGGTCGAAGTCATGCACGCCGGTATGGTGTTCCTTCAATGACACAATCACCGCGATAGCTGATTCTGGATAATAGCTAAATCATCGCTGCCCGTCGTGCGACAAGCCGCTCGCAGCGAAAGGATCGCGGCTGACAACCAAGCAGATAGACTGTCAGTTTGGATGCGGAATGTTGAGAGTAAGCGCCGGTCGTATCCGAGTTGTGTAACATAATGCTGACTTCCATTCCGTTGCAGAGGTAGTTGAGGAGACCCGACAAACATTCGCTTCGTCTGTTCCCAACATCAACGCCCCACTTCCTCCCCTTCCCCTAGCACCAGTGTCCCGTCGGACGTCTCAAGTCTATAGCAATAGGTCTTCTCGTCTGCCACGCCGCGTACCCGCCACCCAGATCTTTGACCAACACGGAAACTCGATAGGCGACCAAACCACGACCTCGTTCGAGAAAGTGTCACTTCCCCACTCCGCCGATCCGACCACAGACGTTTTCAAGCTATCGCCCCACGCTGCTCTCCACTCGCCTAACCGACAACGTCGCGCCACTGTTTCGACTCGCTCGCCCGAACCTGCGGATAAACAACCCATCAACGAGAACATGACTCCTTCCAAGAGAAGAGAGAAAAGCAAATCTCATGGAAATCTATTACAGTTACGTATCACACCTATTTCTGCTTTGGAATCTGAACTACAGAAATGTACGTGCACCCGTTTATTACCTGCCTGAGCTAATTGCTGATCTTGATTGCAGCTAACACACCATCTCCTACTACATCCAAACGATTGTCAGCGCTGGTTGACAGGAGTTTATTTGTTTCTACTCCAGGGCCAAGTCGCACCGACACGGATTTGCCCCGTATATATGTCGACGACGAAGAACGTTCGCTAGACGAGTTGACGTCGTCCCCATTGCACGTCGAGCCCTACCAAGTTCGACGAACCGTAAACCTTGACGACCCTGAACCTGACCCCAAGGTCCAACGACGCATCGAAGGCGTCTACGATCGTTTCCTTATGGCCACTTCCGGGGTGAAGCGAGTCGGCCGCGGATACCAATCAGACAACGCAGGTCCCGTTGCAAATAGCGCGAGCTACGACATGCATAAAGACAAGTCGCAGAGCCACAGGGCTTTCTACTCTGCACGCAAGCCGATGCCCCCGCCCGTGTCGAGTGCGGATATGGAGAATGTGATCGTCGATGAAATGGGGATTATGACTCGTTCGGGAGGTGCTGGTTCGCCTACGGCCAAAGACGAGGGCAACACGACGGTTACGCTTATGCGACGAGCCATCAAAGCCATCGTGCCAGGGAAGACGATGTCTCGTCGACTCTCCCGCGTCTACTGATTGGCGGGTTCATCAAATCTGAAGTCTAACGATCCAATTGTATATTCTGGACAAGCATTTTCGGATCATATTCGTCCGTTTCGTCTTTCATATCTCTCACAATCACTCTTTGCATATCTGGCCCCTTCGCATTCGACTCGCTTTTCCAGCTTTGTTATTTTGCTATGTATGTTATTTGTCGCGTCCTTTCGCAATTGTTGTCGTTATTCCAGTCACGCTCTTCGATGTCAAATGATTTCACGTACGAATGTTATGACGAATGTATTCTCGGAGAATGATATATAAAATTTCATGATTTACAAAACAATCGCAGTGGGTGCAGGCTAGAGGCCACGAAATCTCCATCTGGTGTGGCTAATTCTCACTACTAAATTTGTATCAAAGGGTCCGGTACACAACAATAACATATCTACGCTGATCCCGCCAAAAGACGGGCGATAAGGTCATCCATGCGGTCCCATTGACGAATTGCGGGTATCAAGAATATGTTGCCGGCACGATTCGCGAAGGCAATCCGGCCGCTTGCCTCTGCCAACGCAGAGCAGGTCACATCGTCTGCATAGTATTTCAAGAAACGAACACGTGAAGCATAGCAAACTCACCTCTCAAGTCGTACGATCCAATCGTGTGGATGACCCTCCGCATTATCTCTATCGTACGAGGCTGGTCCGAAGGATCGATTGCCTTGCTCCACACAATCAAGTCCCTTGTCGTACTTACTCTACTTCTCTCGATCCAAATCGCGCGGCGCCCTTGAGGGCCCAGAGTAAACGAGCTAATGAACCCTCTAGCAGCTACCCCAGACTGGGATACACTGTATCCGAATGATATTTGGGTGGGGGTGGGGGTGGGTGCGCCACGCGATGGGCTAGTGTTCA